AGCCGCCTCTGCTGAATTTAATTGCATTGCTTTATCAAGGTTAGAATTTGACCCATATACAGAGGGCTCCATGCTGGCCAAAACCAGCGACAAGCCAGGGCTGAGCTTATCTTTCCAACACTTTGGTCGGAAAATGTCATTTTCCAAACTGACCTTTTCCGTTTCGGTCGCGCCAGTTCGTTTAAAATTTTTCTTTTTTTTTTTTTTTTTCAATCAGAAAGACAATCTATCAGCAAAAAAGAGGAAAAACAAAAAAGAAGAAAAAAATAAATCAGAAAAGAGCACATGCAAACCCACCACTAAAACAAATTACGTAACAGGAAATTTAGATTATGTACATAAAAAACCTCTCCTTATAAATATTTATTACTATTTTTCTTCTGTCTTTTTATTTACTTGAGTACTTCTGATATTTCTAACCCATCACTCATTCAAAATCCACAATTGTTTTAAAGATTTTATCAACCCTTAATGGTTCTTACATAGAAAAATAGAAGGAGTAGAGTGGAGCTGAAGAGATCCACAGCCTAAAGATGCTTTCAGCAGATAAGAAATTTAAAGGCCACCCAAAGTCAATTTAAAAACTAGATGAAAACTTGTTTTGGATGGAGCAAAAAAATCTGATTTTCAACAAGGAAAACCAACATGTGCAAACCCCACACGTGCTCTGCTGAGCACAGACACAGCAGCACACAGATGTTCTGGAGATGCTGAGCACAAGCCAAGTGTGCAAGGCAGCATCTCCCGTGGGCTTCACTCCCCAAAATTCACCACAACCCCTTGGAATTCCTCTCACTCCAGCTCTGTCAGAGCCAGGGGGGAATTTCCAGCCCAGGTTTACAGTCTGTGCTGGGTGATGGTTCTCACACTGTACGAAAACCTTCCGACAAAACCACGCCAGACCTGCCCTGCAAACCTGGGCTCCTTGGTGAGCACAGCCAAGGATTGCATTCCAAACCATGTGAGATCCCAGCAGCCCCTGTAAAGGGGCAGATTCTGCAGGAAGTAGTAAAGCTTGTAGTAAAACCAAGCAGGAAAAATATCCCTAATTCTTGCAGCTGCCAAACCCACGCTCTGGACACTGCACTGAACACCACCAAAGCAGAGCTGGTCCTGCATTTGATGGCAGCCTGTAACAGAAGGTGTAAGAGAGCCCAGTCATGCCCCTTGTCCCAGGAATGTCATGCAGAAGGCCAGGGGATGCTCCAAGAATTGAACCACAAGATGCCAATAAAACCAACAACCTGCATCCACCCGGTGATCCCACGCGCCGGTGGGAAGAACACTGCAGGGACACCAGTCCCAGGAGCTCCCCACCATCGCAGTCCCAGCAACCCCAAAGACACAGACTGAGAATTCTGGAGGCCACCTCACTGTAAGGCCACATTTACTCTTCAATTTCTGCATTGAAATTCTGCATTTAATGAATGAAAAACTCTCCAGGCAGCACCAAACTCCACTTTCCAAGCACCACCCCATATTTTGTAGCTAAACCACCACAAATACTACTGACAAAGAAACAAAGATGGCAATCCCAGAAGGATTTATAATAAAAATATATTTTAATTGTCCCATTAGTTTCATTTATAACTTCATGGGTGTTTTGTTGGCATGAAGAATGCTGAGTGCCCCAGTGCCATGGCAGACACAAAGAAAAGACCTTCCACAACCTGCTCCAGCATCACAATTCCCTGTTCCCAGCTCACCAGCATATAAGGATATGTATCAATTGTTTATGCTTAATAGATATGAATTTATCTACTGAGGTAGTAACAGAAAAGGAGATTGCAAATGCTTAAATTTCATATTTTAAGAACATGCAAAGCTTAAAGACAACACACTTGTTCTAGGAAAAAAATCCAGACTATGGTTCCTTTTGCCATTCTTAGAGACACTGCAATACCCACCACTACTTGGATGGCAAAAGTATGTAGATCACCACTGATATTTTAAAATTATATTTATTTATCAGTTTGTATCATGTACCCATCGCTCAGCATCTGGGGATGCATATTAAAATAATATATATGTATATATACATTATTCATCTACAAATCACAATTTAAGTACATTCTTCCTCCTGGGACACAGATCTTCCCAAATCCCCTTCCAGCCCCAAGCAAAGGTCTGGGTGAGTGGATCCCAGCAGGGCCTGGAATGGGCAGAGAGGAGCATTGGTGGGGGCCAAAAGCAGCTGTTTGGCCGCCGGAAATTCCTGGCATTTTATAGACACTTCTGTTAACCTCCAAAAAACCTCCTTCACACAGATTAGCTCAATATGGGTCATACTCACAAAACGTGCCTTGAACCTTTCTCCCAGTGAGGGGGACGTGTCTGCCACGGGGGTTTGCACGAGTCTTCAGCCCGGCACGTTCCCAGCCCGAGCTCCCGGCTCCGCGCCGGAGGCCCCGCTCGCCCCACGGCTGCCATCCCGAGCCGGCCGAGCAGCCAGGGCTCCGTGTGGCTGCAACGTCCCCTCTGCTGGGACACGGCAACAAGGTCACGGAAAACCGGCGGCAGCGGAGGGAGGAAAAGATCAGAAGAGAGCAATTACTTCGGAAAGCGCTCGTGGCGTTACAGGGCGCGCATGGAGAGCCGTGCGTGGCACGCCCACGCTCCTGCCGGGAAAGAAGGACCATGCACATGGAGAACCCACCCCAGCAGCAGCAATTCCTCGTGGAGAACCCACCCCAGCAGCAGCAACTCCTCCTGGAGAACCCACTCCAGCAGCAGCAATTCCTCGAGGCCCTTCTCCCACAGACCTCCATTCACCACGGAACGCCCGCCCGGAGTCAATGGAAATGCTCTTGTAAACAAGGACTTACAAGAACCCAACGTGACAATGATTTCAAAAGGAGTTTTGACTGTGCAATTGTTGCTGGATTAGGGTCTTCAGAAGCACCGAGCTTGCACTGAAGAGCACGGAATTCAAATCTGCAAAGGGCCGGGGCCTCCGGAGCGGAGCCCCGGGAGCGCCGAGGGACACGCTCGGCCTCCAGCACGGGAATGGCTCCTGAGCTCCCCCCAAAGCCCCTGGGGAAGGGATGGGAGCACTGACAAAAGGACAGGCTCTCCTCCCTCCCTTTTAGAGCCACTGACCTAAACTGAACCGTATCACATCGCTGCCTAAACAAGCACGGGATAAACTGTACAAGGACCTCGTTACCAAATTAAAGAAAAAAAAAATATCTGAAACCCCCAATCACTTGGCAGACATGTTTTTCTTACAAACCAAGCCTATTTGGTGAAATTCTAATTTCAAATAATTGATTCAACAATAAACCAGCAGCCTAGACCAGAAGCACAAACAGCAGTATTTGTCTTGCCCAGATAAGTAAAAATTTGGAATAAATAAATCACCCACTCCTTTGCTTATATAAACGCAAACCAGAGCAACAAAACATGGCAATAGTACAAAAGACAAATAAATGAGTTAGACACGGAGCCCAGGAGTTTAAGAAGTCTCCCCTGTATTTAATAAAGCATGAATTATTTTTTTTAGAAACACTAACAGATCCCTTGCAGATAGTTTTTATCTTTATACTATTATTATATAAGACATTTTGTGTTTAAAGTGAACTATTGCTTCATCTAGTTGGCCCCTCTGCTGGGCATAGAAATTAGGTAGTGAACAAAATCAAAAATCACCATTCAATATTACAAACATACAACTTTAAAGCATTTTGAGGTTGTGGGTTCCCCCCCCCAGTCCAAAGAGATAAATAATGGAATCACTGGGAATGTAGAAGTCTGGGGTTTAGCGTCAAATTCCGTGTCTACATGAAATAAAAAAGAAGCCTGAGCCACGGTTAGTTGAGAGACGAAGGAAAAGATGCAATTACAGATCATCCCATTCCATCAGCTCAGCAGGTGGAAAACATTGAAACCAGCGACTTTTCAGAACCGAACCTGACTCTTTGTTTCTAACACACGTCAAAGTCCTCCTGGAATAAGTGAGACTTTTGCTTTTGAAGAACTGAATACTTAGGATTCTGCAATGATTTCTAATTAAAACATGAAATCTGGCATTTCACAAGGCTCTAGAATTTTTCTGTTTCATTTTTCTCCGAGAAAATGAGTCTCTATCTAGTGCAAAGAAAAATATTCTCCCCCTCTGCCCTTTAGAGAACTTCAGAAAGACCGAACGCTGTTAAACAATTGACTTTGTCTCAGCTCTAAAGAAAAAAAAAAAAGGATTAAAATTACTTTCAGGACATTGAGGTTACGCTGTGTTCAAACCATCCAATTAGGAAAAAAAAAAACCCAAAATTATCTTTGGAGAATTAATTAAAACCAGATCAATTATAAACCATATCTTTGCAAGCATTTTACATTCACAACACCATTTTGTTTACGCACCAAATGAGCATTTTGAATGTTTTCTCTTAGCACAGACCACGAATAACTGAGGATATTTAATAATTTGATTAGTTTTCAATTTTAAAATTCCATGTACAGCCTAACAGGGTATTTGGACTTCGACCACTGAGCCTGGAGATGGAAAGAAAGGCTGGAGCTGCCTCTGGCCGCTCCCTGCATCGACACCAGGGTTTAGGCTTCTACCGAAGCAAAAGAGCTCTACAGGACTATCAGCAGAGTGGATCATTCTCTCTCAGGGCTATTTTACTCAAGAGAATCAATTTCAAAAATTGCCCAAAACATCGAATGAAACACAAGTTATCTAAACATCAGATTTTCTAATTTTATTAAAAACGCACAAATTTTATCCAACATGTTTTCTTTCATACAGTGAATGGTCTAATATGCACTGGAGGTCACACAAGCTTAGGTTTATTAGAACAATAAAAGACATATGAGAAATTTAATATATAAAGAAAAAAGTAGCAGCTGTTGACTGCATATTTGACCATAAAATTTAAATATTTTGGACTTTTATTTTAAAGACACAAAAATAAAACCTGTGTGGGTCTATATAAGTCATATTAACAATTCCATGAATGTTCAACAGGACTAAAAATTAGCAAAGATGTTTGTTTGTCTTTTTTTTTTTTCTTTTTAACCTTGTAACACTTTTTAAACACCTTCTCGGGTTGCTGGTGCAAAGCACCTTACAGTATTTGTGCTATATATTTACTTTATTTGGCAACTGTCTGGGTTTTGTGGATTTTTTTTTCTTTGCCTTCTGTAAACAACACCTTTTACAAACTAGCACAGTGAACCACAAGCCCTGCAATCTGTTAGAACATCTACAGAAAAGAAAATGAACTATTTTGGTTGGTTGCTCAAAATCTTTTGCTTTTGAACAAGAGGTTTTTCTAAAACAGGATTTATTAGTAAAACATTGAGCTCCTGAATTTAACATTAGACGTAAACAGTTGACTGTTTTTAGTTCAATAGAGTCTTTTTGTTTAGCTTTTCTCTCTCTGTGAAGGTAGAATACTTTTTGTTTGTTTGTTTGTTTTTTCAAGTCATTTTCGTTAGAGGTCTGGGTGGTGACCTTTGCTATGATGAGGAGGTTTTGTACGTGTAGCTTTGTGAAGGTAGAAGAGTTGGTGCTGAGGGCTTAACATTTAGTATTTGCTATTTTTGGAAAAAAAAAAAAACAAAAAAACAAACCAAAACCAAAACAAAACAGCAAAGAAAAAAAAAAAAGAAAGGAAAAAAGAAAAGTTGTCCCACCTGATCGTCAGCAGGCTGAAATGGCTGAAGCTAAAAAGAGTTTCTTGTTGTCGAACTTTCTGAGAGACAAAAATGAACAAACAGATTCATAATGCCAGAACCATCCTTAACCGGGACCGCTAGAGAGTTCTTGAAGCTTTTTTTTTCCCCCTTTTCTTTGACCTTTCCTTCATTCAATTATTAATTTCTTATCTTTTTTTTTTTTTTTTTTTAAAACGAGAAGTTTCTAAGGATTGTGGCTCTTAGGATGACATCCAACAGGGTAAATCAAACTCACGCCATCCTACGGTAATGGCAGCACTTTACTGTACAGCTTCCCCAGTTTCTTTGTCAATGGTACAAAAAAAGTCCCCTCGCTTGTTTGATACAACCATAACATGGAGATTGTCCTGGTCTAGAGCAAAGCTTGCCTTGGAGCGATTGGATTCAGTTCGTTCCCAAGGTAATATTGTCTTAGGGCAGGAGAGATGTTATATTAATTCATTTCTGTACACCATAACAATAAGCAGACTAGATGATCATCACTTACTTAAGACCCAGTTCGTTTTAAAGCTACCACACAGCTGCTTCGTTCATTTCTGGAGGGTGGGACAAGTGATTGCCGTAGTTAGCACCACCGTTGACGGATATCGACGAAAAGGGGGGGCTGGGGCCAAAAACTTCCGCGGACATGGAGTGCAAGGACCCGGGCAGGTTGGGTTCGGGGCTGGGCGAGTCTCCCGGGGGGTGCGACATGATGTCAGTGAAGCGCTGAGCCTCACTGGAGGGGTGATGTCCGGGCAGGGGGTGGTCCATGGCCCCCAGCGGGGTGCCCGACGGCCCCGAGGAGGGCACGAAGGGGAGATCCACGGGGGTCTGCGCTTGAGACGAAGGCGGTCCTTGCGGGAAGAAATCGTAATTGCTTCCAGGGCCGTAATACTCGCTCTGATAATCTGGCGGACAAGGAGAGACAGAGGGAAGGTAACAGGCGGGCACCCGAGCGGGAACGACGCGGGAGCGCTCCCACGGCCGCGCGGCTGGGGGGCTCGGGGTGTCACCCACGAACCCGAGGGGGAAACCGGTTCCTGGGCTGGCCGGGCTCCGGCAGCCCTGGGACTCCCTTCCCGCAGAGCAGCGGAGGCACCGACACGAGCCGACATTCCAAAAACACCGGGGGAACACCGGGGTACTGCTGGCAGCGCCGCGACGGCCACCCCCGGGAGAGGGAAGTCCCGTGACAGGCGGGGAAGCCGAGTGGGATGGCCCCAGGACAGCGGGACGGCCCCAGGACAGCGGGACGGCCCCAGGACAGCCCCAGGGCTGCAGGGCAGCGCTGCCGGGAGCTGAGCCGGGAGCCTGGCGTGTCCCCCTGGTGTCCCCGCGGGTGTCCGTGCATCCCGGCACGGGGTGTCCGCGGGCACAGGGGGTGAGGGGCCGCGGGGGGGGATCGCGTTACCCACCTCCATAGAAGGAGAAGGGCCCGTTGGGGATGAGCTCCCCGGGCTCCAGCCGGTCCACCAGCGGCCGCATCCTGCGCGGGCTGCGGAAGAAGGCGTGTCGCCGGGCGCCCAGCGCGCTCAGCTGCTTCATCCGCCGCTCCTTGGAGCGCCGGTTCTGGAACCAGACCTGCGCGGGCGGCGGGAGAGGCGCCGGTCACGGGAGCCGCGGCATCGGGGGTTCCGCTCATGCCGCCACCCCGCAGCCCCCTTCCTCTCCGTTCCCATCCTCATCCCCACCCCAGGGTCGCGTTTTTCCCCTTTCCCCGTCTCTTTTGCCGGTGCACCCCTAGCCCAGCTCCTTCTCGTTCCAAACGGGGCCAAACCCACGCGTGACGGCGGCCCCGCTCCCCGCCGGCTGCAGGTCAAGAATGATTGAGTTAATTCTTATTACCCTGACAAGATTACTGCTAATTACCCTCACACTGAGCCTCTCCAATCTAACCTCGCCTTTAATGGTCCTTTAACCCCCCATTACCCCAGCGCTGCGGGTTTATAAACCTTTTAATAATTCCAGCGCATTGTCATTCTTATTTACCCATTAACCCCTCACATTTCTGGTTATTAATTTCGAAACTACTTTCAGCTTCTTCAGGATTTTTGAGAATAAACCCACGGCTCCCGGGAAGGAGCCGACGGGCTGGGAAGCACCGGGAAGCTGCCGGGGCACCTCGGTAACAACGATTTAAAAGGTCGGCGGGGCTTTCTCCGGCCCTGCCGTGCGGGGGGTGCCGGGCACCGGCCACTCCTCATCCCTGCATCCCCAGAGTCGCATTCCCGCATCCCCCGGAGCCGTGCCCGGTGCCCGGAGGCGGCGGTACCTGGATGACCCGCATGTTGAGGCCAGTCTCCTGTGCCAGCTGCTCCCTGATGTGCCGGGTGGGTTTTGGGGTGGCCGCGAAGGCGGCTTTCAGAGTCTCTAGCTGTTTGGCTTTGATGGTGGTGCGAGGTCCCCGCCGCTTGGCCCCCAGGTTCTGGTCGTCGTTTTCGTTGCTGCCCGTCTCCTTGTCGGACACGTTGGCGCTTTCCGAGTCCTTGGCGTCGTCCTGGGAGGGGTCTTGAGAGTCGGGGGACAGGCTGGGGTCACTGCCGGTGGTGGCTGGGGGAGAGCAAACCGGGTCATGGTCAGCCGGGGGCGGCCAGGGGGAAATAACGGCCGTGATGGACAGGCCGCGGTACGACAGGGGAGAGGAGGGGAGAGGAGAAAAAAGGGAGAGGAGAAAAGGAGAAGAAAAATAAAGGAGAGACAATGGAGAGGAGAAAGAAATGAAATGAAAAGAAAGAGAGAGGAGAAAGGACAGGAGAAAGAAGGGAGAGGAGAAAGGAGAGGAAAAAGAAGGGAGAGGAGAAAGGACAGGAAAAAGAAGGGAAAGGAGAAGAGAGAAGAGAAGGGAGAAAGGAAAGAAAAAAGAAGGAAGAAAGAAGGAAAAGAAGAAAGAAAGGAAAAGATGGGAGAAAGAAGAGGAGAAAGGAAAGGAGAGAAGAAGGGAGAAGAGCATCTCATTCCAAGGAGCAGCCGGGGCTGAGCACATCCCTGCCCGCATCACCCGGGCCACGCTCCCTCACCTGAATGCAGGCTGTTTTCTTTGGCAGTATTGCTGTTATTTAGGTAATCTTCTTTGCAGACAAACTTGTTCTCGTCTATGATGTAGAGCTCCTCGCCGGTGGAGAGTTGCTTGTTACACATCATACACGTAAAACAGTTCAAGTGGAACACTTTGCTCCGCGCCCTGCGGACCAGGTCGCTGGGGGAGATGCCCTGGGCACAGCCCGCGCACTTGGTCCCGAAACACCTGCGGAGAGAGGCCGGGCAGCGGGTCAGCAGCGCCCGCCGAGCCGCGGGGCCCCGCGCCCCTCACCGCGGCCTCCGCTCGCCCCGCCTGGCCGTGCAAAAACGCAATTAAACAAAATACGGCGTCCCCGGGCGGAGGGCTCTCTCTTCCTAACGAGCGAATTCTTGACGCTGTATTTTTTTAAAAATAAAAATCAAATCGGCCTGGGCAGCGGGGCTGCGGGACTGATGGACCCGGGGGCTGCACTGCCCAAGGTGTCCCCTGCGCCCCGACACCGCGTTAACGACGCTCTAATAAGCACCACGCAGAAATTCCACCCGTTCCGAACGCTGCTATCGGCCCCGGCCGGAGGAGCCGCCGGTGCGGGCAAGGCCAGCGCGGGGAGCGGGGGGACGGCGGGGCCGGACCCGCGGCGGGGCCGGGGGCCTCCCGAGTCCCGCTCGGCCCCGCGGGGCTCTCGGGACCGGGGCAGGGCCGGGCCGATCCCCGCGGAGGAGCGGCGGGCTCGGGGCAGTGCCGGTCCCCGTGCCCAGGAAGAAGCGGCTGCGGGGCTCGGCCCGCGCGTTGTGCGGGTGTGCGGTGGCGGCTCGGAGGCCGCCCCGGCCCCGAGGCGGTCCTTGCCCTCCTCGCCGGAGTGCGGCGGCGGGGCCCGGCCGGGCAGCGGCACCGGCGGCCGCTCCGAGCCCGGGATTGATCCCGGCGCCGGGATGCGCGGGGGAAGCGGCGGCGAGAGAGCGTCGGCACCCGCTGCCCTCTCCATCCATCCGGCGGGGAAGGGTCGCTGCCCTCCGGGGCAGCCTGGGCTCGCTTGGACGGGAGGCGATGGGCCCGCGGAGCGCCCGTACCGGGTCTTCCCCGGCGGCACCGGGCCCGGGCGTGCGGGGAAAAACGCGGGACTCCGGCCCGGACAGCGCCGCGCTCACGGCCGCGGAAAGCCCCGGCGGGGTCACCCCGGCTCCCTGCATCGGGCCCGGGACGGCCCCCGCACACCCCCCGCCACGGGCCCGCAGTACCCCCGCCCCGCTCTGCCCGTCGATAGTTCGGGAGGAACTTTGAGGAACTCGAGATCGGCCCGTCACCGACACGCACGGCCCGACGGGCCCTTCCCCGGGCCCGACCCCCGCCGCCGGTAACCGGGAGAAATAACAGCGCTTCCAGACGTTCGCGTGTCACGGGGAGGGAAGAGGCGCTTGTGCGTCCCGTTGACAACGGGGGGAAACGGCAGAAATAAAGAGGAAAAAAAACGGAGATGAAAAACGGATGGAGAGGAGCGGCGGGGCCGGTACTTACCGAAAGAAGTCGTTTTTGCAGTAAAGCTTGCCTTCTCGCGAAAAGCATTTCTCTGTCAAATTGCATTTACATTCACAGCACTGAACACACTTCACATGCCAAGCCCTGTCCAGTACATTCAACAAAAACCGGTCCAAGATCGGCCTTTTGCAGCCTGCACAGTGAACCATTGTCTTTGGTTAGTTCTGAGGGGGGCAGCGGTTTCCCAGGTGTCAAGAAAAAAAAAATTAAAACAACAATTTTTTTTTTCAAAAAGATGACAACACCGGCATAGGTTTGCTTTTTGTTTTGTTTTTTTTTTTCCTCTCTCTCTCTTTTTTTTTTTTTCTGTGAGTGTATGTGTTTGTTTTAAAAGCCTTGGAGAAGTGAAGGAGGAGAAAAAGAAAGGGAGGAAGAAGAAAAATCTTCGTTCGAGTGTCCTAGGAGGGGTACACAGGAGAACCCCCCACTGCCCAGCGCTTCGACACAGCCGTAGGATCCCGGCCGCTACCAACCACACGGATAATAATAATAATAATAATAATAATAACAATAAAACAATAACGGCTATAAAGATCGGCGTTCAGAAAAAAATAAAAATTAAAAAATTAAAAACAAAACCGCCAAAAAGCGAGCGTGATGAGTTTTTCTCGGGTCTGAGGTAGAGCAGTCAGGAGTCAAAGTGCTTTTCCCAAAGAGAAATCAAAGGAGGAAAAAATATAATAATAACAATAATAATAATAATAATAAATAACGAGCCGGGACATGGAGAGGCGGCGGCGGTCAGACGGGCTGTGGCTGCTGCCGCGGCGACATCGCCCTGACGCGGGGCTGGGGACACGCGGGGACGGGGACACGCTCCGCCGCTCCTCGCTCCGCCGCTCGCTCTCGCTTCTCTCCCTCGACGTCTCGGCGGCCCCGTCCGTCCGTCTGTCAGTCCGTCCGTCAGTCCGTCAGTCCGCCAGTCAGCCCTACCTACCCCCGCGCATCGCTACCCGCGGCGGCCGCCCGTGTCCCCGCCGAGCCGGCGCGGCGTGGCATGGCCCGGGCGGTGTCGGTGTCGGTGCGGAGGGCCCGGGGCGGGCGGGCCGGGCCGGGCGGAGGGCGCGGGGCAGAGGGGCGGCCCCGCCGTCCGGCCGCGCTGGGGGCTCTGCTCATGGTCCCGGCGCCGCCGCCGCCGCAGCCTTATGGACCGCGCGCGCACGTCACGGCCCGGCCCGGCCAATCGCCGCCGCCGCCGCCGCCCCCCCGCGCCCGCCGCGCCCGCGCCGGACGGGGCGTCCGCGCCCCTTTATAGGAGCCGCCGGGGCGCCGCCGCCGCCTCCGCCCGCGCCGGCCCGCCGGCCGACCGGCACACCGACAGACACACCGACAACACCGACCGGCACACCGACAGACACACCGACCCACCGGCACAGAGACCGGCACACCGACGGCCGCCAGAGCCCGCTGGCAGCGGTAGGTTCGTGTCGGTGCGCGGATGAGGGGACGGCGGGTGCGAGGAGACGGGGCGGCTCGATGGGGTCTGGCACCCCCCGCACAGGGTCACGGGTCCGGTATAGGAGCGGCTCGCTGGCGAGCGGCGGCGAAGGAGATCCCGGTGTAGCGGCGCTTCCCCCGTCGCGAACGGCGCGGCTCGAGGGCGCGGGGGCTCCCGCGCTGCGCAGAACTGAGGAGAACCCGCCTGTCCCGGGAGGAGCGCTGCGGTGCGGCCGGGGCCGGGCCCCGTGCGCTCCGACGGGGCGGCGCCGGCGGGGAGGGGGCGGCGGGCCCGGGGCCCCCCGGCCTCCGAGGGCAGAGCGAAGGCGCCGGTCACTTCGCGGTGGTTCCGTTACCGGCGCTCGCAGTGCCCGTCCCGGGCCGAGGAGTACCGGCTACCGGGATGGACTTTTTTTTTGGGGGGGGTAAATAAAGATTAATTCGCTTTTACCTTCCAAGGGCCGGTCGGTACCGGGGCGGTGCGGAGGGACGAGGTTTCTCTTTCCTTTGCGCTCTCCTGGCCGGCGGGAGCCACCGCTCCGGGGAGGTGTCACCACCCGGTCCCGGGCCCCGCCAGCCCCGAAGCCGGCCCCGCACCGTCCCTTCGGGCCGGCTGAGCCTCCGCCGGGGAATTAGGAAGGGAACGGCGGATTGAACGGCCCCGGCGTGCCCGGGGTTACACACACGGGTGGCAGCCGGGGCTGAGCGCGGGGGTCGGCGGAGGCCCTCCCCGGAGCCCGCAGCATCCCCCGCCTGTACCCACCGACTGCGCTCTCTTTCATGTCTGTTTTCCTCATCCTTGAGGAAAAGAAAAAAGCGAGGGAGGGAGAAATTGGAAGATAAAAAGGAAAAGGAAGGCAGGAAGCCCGCTCCGCGCGGGGGGCAGCCGGACGGGCGGGAGTGCGGAGCCTGCCCGGTCCGGCAGAGCCAGTTCCCGGGGCTGTCCCCGGGCCGAGACATCGCCTCGGAGCTCCTGCGGGTGTTTGAAAGCCCGGGGGCTGCGTTCACGATATCATCTTTGCCCCCCTCGCAGGTCCCCCCTCGCGGCCATCCCCTCCCGTCGGGGCGCGCACCGGGCGCGCAGGGCTCCCCCCGCCCAGCTGTTGGGCCGCTTTGCCGCCGCTCTCGGGGATCAATAGAGCCCTGGGCTCCCCCCGCCCGGTGCCCCCGCACATGGGCCGCTTCTCATGCGGAGCCGCGGGGCCGGGGCGGGCGGGCGGCCCCGCTCCGCCGCCCGGGAAGGCGACAGCTGCGGGCAGCCGTCAGGGGAGCGCGACCCTCGGCTGCGGCCCCCGGTGACATGTGTCGGTGGGGATGAATGAGGGGAAGGAGATGAGCATCTCGTGTCCATCAAGCACCAGTTTTTCACAGCGATTTTTTTTTTCTCCTTTCCCAGGCGCTAGCGAAAGCATCTGGTTCTCCCCTGCTCCCCGGGGGGCACAGACCGCTGCCCACCCCCACCTTCCCGGGGGTCTGGGGTGCCCCCGCACCGCTGTGATTATCGCGGGGTTCTGCCCGCCCGCCCCGACACAAGCAACCCCCCCAAAATCCCGCTCGGGGAAAGTGGCAGCACAGACGAGGGGGGCTGCTCCCCCCGGCCGGAGGGGGCAGTGGGTGCCCCCCATCCGCCTCACCCCCCAACGGGAACCCCGACCCAGAGCAGGCGTTTGAGAGGAGAAAGTGCTCGCGCTTGTTTCCAGCAGGATCCGAAAATCAAAGCCCGCTATCCCCAGGCTCCCTCGAGTCTTCTGTGCCCCCCAGGACACTCGTGTCCCGGCGTGGGGCACCCACGGGAGCCCCAGACGGAGGGGAAAAATCCCCCAAAAGCCACGGGGATGGGCAGCACAGTCCCCTCTTAGGGCCGGGCCTCTGAGTCGGGGTGGATTTTTTGTTTTTCACTGCATCTCGCAATTCGCCCAGATCCGTTCCCGGCCGGGTCCGAGCCCCCAGCCCCGGGCGGGACCGAGCCCACCCGTGCTCAGCAGGGAGCCGGCCGGGATGTTCCAGAGCAACCTCGCTCGGCCTCGGTGAGGGACATTAGAAGCGTACAAAAAGAAAGAAAGAGAAAAAGAGGGACATCAGAAGATGTTTTTAAAAGGAGAAAATTAAAAAGTAAAAAAAAAAAAAAAATTACTAGAGAAAAAAGGTTAAAAAAAACAGAGAGAAAGTAAAAGAGTAAAAAAAAGAAAAGAAAAAGGAGTGAAAATAAAAGACTAGAAAAACCAGACAAAAAACCAAACAAAAAGCCCAAACACAAACTCAAATTCATTTTAAATCTCATACAGAAGGAGGGGAGAAAAGTCCTTTTCAGGCGAGTTTAAATTTGCATTTTATTGGTGTCGTTCCCGTCTTTTTAGTTAAACATCACCCTGTTTATCATCCCCCTTTCCCCACCGCTGCGCTGGGTAATGGGATTTCTCTCTCCTTTACGGTGCACCGGTGCCGTACAAACACCGGAGCCCTCTCGCCGAGGACCACCGCGGTGCGTTGCGGGGCATCCCCGCATCCCCAGCTGCTCCCTCCCTCCAAACCAGGCAAAAACTTTCCTCCCACGCGCTCGCACTTTCCACCATGTCCCTCCCCCGACAGCATTAAGTTTTGCCCTCTTTCCCTATTCATTTTTAATTTGATTTTGTTGGTTTGTTCTTTTTTTTCCCCGTCCTTTTTAACCTTTCACAACGACCGCGCACGGGATCGGGGATGATACCGCGCTTTGCGCGATCGGCGGAGCCGGTGACCGGCAGCATCCCCGACGCGGGGGGAGGCCGGGGGAGGCCCTGAGTTCCCGTTCCGACCCCTCCGCATCCCGGTGGAGCCCTGCCCGGGGTGCGGGGGTCGCTCCGAGACGCCGCCGCGCTCCCCTCCGGGCGCTACCGGAGCGCCCCCCGCCACCCCGGGCAGCGCTGCGGGGGCACAGCCCGTGGAGAAAGTGGGGGTCGCATCTGTCACCCCTTTCCCCACCACTTTCCCCCGCAGAAAGAGCGCCTCCGCCTGATTAAATATATATGCGGTTAATGCACTATCCAAATATTGAAGTTAAGATGTAATTAAGCCTGTAGAACATCCCCGCGCAATAAACCCCATGGCTGGACAGGATCCGTCGCCAGGTTTGTTTTAAAAGAGCTTAAAAAAAAAAAAAAAAAAGAAGAAGAAGAAAAAGAAAAAAGATCTTTAAATTATGTATTAGAGGGTCCCAGTTTATCCTGCCACACTCGGGTCGATGCTGAGGGTAAACACGGCACTGTCCCCCCCGGCTCCGCTCGCCTTTCCCTTTTCTTTTATTTCTTTTCTGTTAATTTTCCTTTTTCTTATTTATTTTCCTGCCCCCCTCCCCCGTGATTAGCCCTCCCGGGTTTCTTCCCACGTCGCTAAATGTTGTCGCTTACACTCCAAGCTCATGCATTGTTTATGCGAAATATAGTTAATAAATAATTACAAATCCGAGGTGTGCGGCTCTGCCTCTGACTGACGGGAAAGTGGCCGGGAAGGGGCCGGTGGTGGCCGGGGGGGGGGTCCCCGAGCCCGCCCGGGAGCGGGGCCCGGCGGGGCAGCCTGGGGGGCTTCGGGGCGAGCCCGGTGGGGGGTGCGGGTGTGTGAGAGCTGAGCGGGGTCCTTCACGTTGTTAAAGGGCGGATAAAAGACGAATAAAAGAGAAAAGAAAGAAAAGTGAAGTGGTAGCGGGGGCGGGGGGGGGGCTATAAAAAAAGAGGGTGAAGCGAACCCCCGGAGGATGCACCGCTCCCGGCTCATCCATCTTCATTGTCTCCGTGTGTGCAAAAGCAACTCCAGTCTAAGGAAAAGCCACTATCAAAGCCATGGCTTTATTTTATATCCTATAGATCAGGAGGGAGGCAAAGCTTTATTTTCGCCCAGAGACAGATATTTTATTTCTCTCTTACGGTTTTATGTGTGAGAGATGTCAAAAAGGTAAAATAGATTGCTAATGCATAGGCAAAACGAAGCTGTTTTGGCATGCTCTGTGTCAGGAGGGCTCCCAGGGAGCGCGGGCTGGGGATTTAGGGCTGATGGGGGACTCGGGGGGATTCTGCTAAAACATCTCTCTCCATAAATCCAGCCGCGTGGTCAGCGCGAGCGGCAGAAGGAGTTTTAAAGGGGAAGAGTTGGGGCGCGGTGGAGCAGAGCGGGGACCCCCGCGACCCCCGGCCCCGCCGCCCCCGGCCCGCCCCGTCCCGTCGGGGCTCCGGGGGGTTGCAGCGGTTGTTCCCATCGCTTCTCCCGGCGGAGCTGCGGCGCTGGGGACCCCTCGGCGACGCTGCCGGCGGCACAAAGCGCTCCCGGCTCATCCCGCCCGGCCAAGACGAGCCCCCACCACCCCCCAAACAGCCTCCTCGTTTTTTCTCTGCCAAACAAGCACCCACCCCCCGACATCGGTCTAAGCCCCGGAGCGGCGGCTGCTCAGCATCTGCCTCCCCGACCCCGGCAGCGGATCTGCACGGACCTTTTCCAAAGTTAAAATATATCTCCCCAAGCTGCAACAATTTTCATACTTTTTGACCTCGGGGATTTACTTAGCACGTTAAGTTCAAGGCTCAGAAGCCCAGGGCTATTACTCATTTAGGCACTCCCACCACCAACACTTTTCACCACATATTTTATCATTTGACTTCCTGGCTTAAATTCATGTTATGGCAAATAATGGATGGTAATACTTTCCCCCTTCCCCATGTTAATTGTCTTGTCTGACAGCCTCCGCATTTGAAGTGATTTAAAGCAAACAAGGGTGCAGCGAGAGCAGGAGACAAACCAGCACAAAACCTCTGCGGGAGCCCTGCGGCTCCGGCTCTTCCCTCCCAGGTTGGGGGCTGGATCCAGAGCACAGCAAAGCCGCCCCTAAAGCATCACCCAGCTCTTGCTGGGGTCACTGCCATGCAGAGGCTGCTTCCCCCCCAGTGCCCTGCAGCCCCCGGGGTGACATGGGGGGGGGCTCAGGCCTGCCTTGGGCCCCTCTGGCTCTGCTGCCCAAAACATTGCTTCCTCGAGGTGGCTGAAATGGGAAATCAGACCAGAGTGCTATTTGCAAATTAAAAAAAGCAAGGTGTAGTTGATTAGCAAATTAATTATTTCAGTACCCCCAGGATTATATTGTTTTTCTAAGTTCTGTGGGCCTGTGTAATTTACTAATTTCACAGTCGCTGAACTTCCCTGGGAGTGAGAGGCAACCTCCCCCACCTCTCTGACACGTCCTCGGGATCCTGCGTGGAGGCAGCGGCTCCTCGGCAGTGTCAGAGGGAAGAGGGTGCCCAGACCTTTCCCTCTGCTCCTGCCACCGACCTGCTGCCTGACCCTGGCCAAATTCTTTGTTTCTCTTCTTTCTGAAGTGGACAGTGCCTTCCTTCCTAACAGAAGCAGCTCCTCCAGCTTAGAAAGCAGTAACCACAGAGGTTTTCCTCTACCCAACACTATCACTGGCTTCCTGTATCCGTATGGAGAAAGGGCTGCTGCGTTACTTGTCCTTCACAAGCAGCTGGAGAAGAGAATTCACAGCCTAAAAGGGTTTTTGTCACCAGAGAATGTCAGTTTTTGGTGTCTGACACCATCATCCCACAGACCGTTTGGGGAAAATAACTGAAATCCAAACAACCAGGACTATGCCAAAAAAAGGCAGGGATAATATGCCTGCAGTGGTGGGAAACCAGCACTGCCCTCTGCCTACCTGCCACAGATGCAAGAGCAGGGCTTGGTTTGGGGTGATAAAAAAGCATCCCAGGTACCACAGAACCACGAGCTTCCCTCACCAGGTGAGACAATGGATCCAGAGCTCCTGGCTGTGTTTCTGTCTGTCTGCTTAGTCCTGACTCCTGACTAATCTTCTATATATAGATTCTGTTTGTTACATTACTATATAATATCCTATTTATATAGGTTTCTATTTTAAGGGTTCTGAGAGGCCACAGAGGTTCTGCCCAGCCTGCCTTTCCCCACTTTATTGGCCACACACAAACCCAGGCAGCTGGATTAGTGCAGTTTGAGCCCAACCAAGTTCCTGACTCCTGGGTGCCTCCAGCCCAGCACGAAATTTTGTCTGCTTGGGACAAGTGGCCAAGAGCCAGGTAAGAGGCAGCCGTGGTGTGGGAGCCCGTGGCTGCAAGTGCTGGGAATGTGGAGGGAACCAAAGAGGTCACTGCACGCTCCAGGCAGGGCTCGTTAGCGCTGCACTGCGTGTGGAACCTGAGCTGCTAATCGAGCATCACCACCCCACTGGCATGGAACTGGAGCACGGCAACAAGATGTGGTCAAACACATTGTTTTATAAAAAAATGCACATTTTTTTATAAAAACTCTGCTTCCTTCCCCTCCTCTGTGAGAGGTGCCCTGAGCTTTGCTGACGCACACCAGCCCATCTCGGTGCGACAGCGAGGATGTGGCACCCACAGTCCCATTACTCTGAAATGCATCAATATACTGTGTTCGAGACAAAACCCCAGATCATCTTGATCTAGAATGTGAAATTTTACCAGTTCCAGCTATTTTTTTTCCAGGAGAAGCCAGGGGCTGAGCTGCATTGCCGTGAGGGTCCTGCCTGCCAGTGCTCTGCTGTCCCCCGCTGTGCTCCAGGACAAGCACCCACACAGGGCAGAGCCACACGCTGGCACTGCCACGGACCAACCCTCCGTGCTCAGAAGCTCACTTTAAAAAACACAGATTGTTCTAAAATAATCCTTCCTCGGCATCACTGGGCTGTTATTCCAGCCAGGCCTGGCAATCCCTGCCAGTGTCACTGTGTTGGTGAGGCAGCACAGGAGGGCACGGGGGGGAAGCAGCTTCTCGAGGGTCAGCCAGAGGTGGACACAATCAAAACCTCCCAACTCCCACTTTAGACACACTTCACCTCTCAGCTCCCTTTTCTACTGTGCTCAGAAGCTCACTTTAAAAAACACAGATTGTTCTAAAATAATCCTTCCTCGGCATCACTGGGCTGTTATTCCAGCCAGGCCTGGCAATCCCTGCCAGTGTCACTGTGTTGGTGAGGCAGCACAGGAGGGCACGGGGGGGAAGCAGCTTCTCGAGGGTCAGCCAGAGATGGACACAATCAGAACCTCCCAACTCCCACTTTAGACACACTTCACCTCTCAGCTCCCTTTTCTACTGTGCTCCTTGGTGGGTGGGGTA